TAAAGATACTGCATCGCAGTGATTCACGAACCCACGTTTACAGCATCACAGCTCCAAACAGCTGCATCCTGGAAACGCCCTGCATTTCTCGGATGAGGAAAGTGTGGCAGATCCACACGACGGGGTACTGCTTAGCCAGACTCGTCTGTGGGGAAGTGGGGCACCCTGAGGCCACAGTGCTAAGTGAAAGAGGTCAGACACCGAAAGTTAAATATCACACGGCTTCTCTTGTATGAGAAACTCAAAGTATAAATAGTTTAAAGAGCAAAATAAAAGGCAGACGATACAAAATAGGGAAGCAGACCTTTTGTAGATGGATGTACAAAGGACTAAGATGATATGATATAAATGCATATACACACACACACACACACACATTTATTTATTGGCTTTATATGGAGATATACATATGGGCTATATAGATATATATATGGGAGATATATATATCTCCCTGGGTACTGCTTAGCCAGACTCGTCTGTGGGGAAGTGGGGCACCCTGAGGCCACAGTGCTAAGTGAAAGAGGTCAGACACCGAAAGTTAAATATCACACGGCTTCTCTTGTATGAGAAACTCAAAGTATAAATAGTTTAAAGAGCAAAATAAAAGGCAGACGATACAAAATAGGGAAGCAGGCCTTTTGTAGATGGATGTACAAAGGACTAAGATGATATGATATAAATGCATATACACACACACACACACACACATTTATTTATTGGCTTTATATGGAGATATACATATGGGCTATATAGATATATATATGGGAGATATATATATCTCCCACTGTCTATGATGAATGTATTCCTTATGTATCTCAGATATGTACCAATAATAAGACTATTACAAAATTTCTGTCAGTCCTGTCAGCACACACCTGTAAGCCCAGCACTCAGGAGGCTGAGGCAGGGGGATCACTGTTCTTCAAGCCCAGCCTGAACCTCATAGTGAGACCCTGTTAAACCCTCCCTCCCTCAAGGGCCCTGCATGCTCAGTCCAGTCCTGTTCCCATGTCCCTCCCGCCAACCACCTACTCTGGTGACAAGCTCCGATTTCTGAGCAGCATTTTACTGTGAACAACTGGGTAACGGTGAGGAATGCACAGCACGTTCAGAAAGGGCAGGGAAGTTAATGCTGTGAACAAACAGCACCTCGATGGGCTACACGAGTCCCGTTAAATGGGGTGTGTTGCCAGGGCTGCTGCTTCTTCCTCATTAACCACGACCTGGAAAAACAGCACCTGTCAAACCAACTCCGGAGCTGGCTTTCCTCCTAACTGCCGCACACACGGGCCCAGTGGACTCGCACTGTGCACCCTCGGGCTGCTGCAGACCCTGGAGGGTCACCTCTGGCACGCTGCTCGTGGGCCGCTGGCTGGGGAGTGAGGGCCCCGGAGCTGCTCTCCCTAGTTAGCAGGCCCGCACCTCAGGGCCACTGTGGAGCTGGCCAGTCTCAGAGATGAGAGACGCTCCACCCACAGCCAGCCCTTCCTGCCCGCTCTGCCAGAGCCTGCTCCCCGATTCTGCTCTTGACATCCTGCACCTGTCACTTCAGCAGACTGTGAAGATGAACGTCCACTCGGCATCTCGGGGAGAAAAGGAGCCTGGCGGACGGCCAGTGAAGCCTGACGGTCAACTCCATGGATAAAGAGACTCCTAGAGGGACCGGCTCAGAGGGCGCTAGGCCCGAGCTGATGTGCTGTCGGCTGGAGGAGGTGGGCTGCTGCGGGCGTGTCTCTGGGGGTGCAGCTCTCGCTGGTACTCGGCTTCCCGGGGTCAGCTCCCAGCAGCCAGGAACTCAGCAGCTCTGCTCCACCCTGCCCTTCTGCCATGATGTTTCCATGGAGTCAGGCAACCACGGACTGCAGCCTCTGAAATGGTAATCCTGATCAAACCTCTCCTCCTTTAAGGGTTTTGTCCCGCACCAGGAAAGGTGACTGGTACATAAGAGCTCTCAGGGACTGTGGTCTGGGGAGCAGCACCTCACAGAAATGGGCGAGTCATGGACACAGCGAGCAGAGCTCAGAGGAGTCAGGCGGGGTGGTAGGGAACATCAGTCTTAGTTCTGTGAGTCAGGGAAAGCACAGGAAGAAAGACAACTGTGTCCTAGGCGTGGGATGATTTCTTACCTATCCACCAGACTGCTAGCAAATGGCACTGGCTCAGTTTGACGTTAGTCCTTGTAAGAGCCGGGCTCAAAGGTCCAGAATCCCCAGCTTGGGATCCTAGACTTGTGGCCCTGGGCTAACTGAACATGACCACTGCCGAAAAGCTCAGAACATGAGAGAGGTAAGAGCCAGGAGGGTGGAGGCAGAATGGAATCCTTTGGGGCCCTGCAGGAGAATCTTCCACATTCAGTTGTTTTCTAAAGATTCACTGATTTGAAAATAAGAAGTAAACTTGCCAACCCCAGCCTGTCCCTCCTAGCAATCTTAAATTTTCCCTTTAGAAATCCAAAAAGGATTGCATCAAAACTCTGCTATGTGAGATGCCTTCTCCGGTGCCGAGCCTGCAGACCCACAAAGAGCTGTGGTACCGCCCCGTCCTGTCGCTGATCCCGCATTCCAGGGACATGACCCCACCTGACACAGCCCCTCAAACACCCGGCCCTCCCAGAGGACGGGGCGGCCCTCCCAGGCAGGGTGGGCAGGCCGAGATGCCTGCGGGAGTCTGATGGGGTGCTGCTGATCAAAGGAGCCCCGTGTGCTGCCTGGGACGGCAGGACCCCTGGAGGCAGAGGGGTTGGCTTTTCCCTCCTTCTGCTCCTCTCCCCACTCTCCCTTCTGTGTACGGTATGGGGAATGGACTCCATGGCCTGTGCGTTGTGTCCCCAGCCCTTTTCATTTCTTTGAGACAGGGTCTCACCACGTTGTGGAGTTGCCCGGGCTGGGCTCAAACTTGTGATCCTCCTGCCTCAGCCTCTCAGAGTGCTGGGATCGTGGGCTTGTGCCACCACATCCCACCGGGTGCTTCTTTAAATGAATCTCAAGTTCCATAAATCATGCTCCCACACGTGTGGCCTTTTCTTCCCCTCTCCATGCAGCATTTTAGGCCAACCCCAGCTAATGAGTTGTCAGACTAGATCATGCCTGCCTGCATCTGTTCCAAGTCTGCTGATCAAACAACTCCAGGGAAAAGATGCCATTATCCTGTCCAGTGTGAACCTCCAGCGATTATCTCGGTGCAGCATGCCTTGCCGGGGGTAGAGAGGACAGATGGGAAGCCAGCTGTCCGCCCCAGAAAGTCACCTCCCAGGCGGGGTATACCCTCATGTCCGCGTCACTAAAAAAAAGGCGCCTTGCAGTCTGAAGACTCTTTCAAAAGGGCCACCGCCCTGGTGTTGTCCCACAGAACGGAAAGACCTAGCTCTACATCCAAGCCACAGAGGCAAGGCCCTCTCTTGCTGCACTTCAACAGCAGGCTACGCCTCTGTGCACAAACCACGGCACTGGAGCTGCAGACACCTGCAAGGACGCGGAGCCCAGAGGAGCACGCATGGAGCAGAGCGCGCTGACAACAGGAGCATATGCACGTCCGTGTGGCACAGGTGAATGTGCGAGGCCAGGCAGGAAAATGCTACACGGGTAAGAAGGAAGACTAGCCCAGCAGACACTGGAACACAGGACACAGTGCCCACATTCCAAGCTGGCACTGGCGGTGGGGAAACAGATCAATGAAAGAGAACGGACCATCAGGCCCAAATACCTGTATTTCCTACATACAGGAAAAAGACGAACTGTATAAATGGCTCGAGGGTGCTGTGTTAGATATGAGGAGACAGCTGCTTCACCAGTCAGTGACAAAGATGCCCTGGCAGGTCCTACGAGGGCAGGAAACAGGCACTGCCTATGCTGTCTGAGAGGTACCAGATGTGTGCAGTTTCTGAGGAGGAGACATGGCGTCTTTACACCATCGTGAACAGCGTACAACTGATGCTGGCAACTCATCCTGCATGTGTTTACACTGTACACAAAGAAGCAGGGCAGTGTGTTTCCAAACTGCAGGTCAGGAGCCACCAGTGAGTCTAGGAAATGAGTGCAGTGGATGGACTGCGGCCAGACGCAGGGCAGTGTATAGCACACATCAGCAGCGTTCGTCTTTTCAGGAGAAACAGATACATTCCAGGTCAAATCTGTCAGGAAATTCACCGGGGGGAACTGGTGACAGTGGCTGCCACTGGGCAGGAGAACTGAGTTAGGAGCAGAATTGTTTTTCATGGTGATTCATTTTGTCCTGTTGGTTAAGACCCAGGTACACGTGATACATTATTTAGAGATGCATGTGCCATACGGACCACCACGATCTACCCGACTTCACTGCCCCCCAGTGCAGCCCTGGGGCAGTGGAGTGGACAGCAGGGTCCCAGCCTGCCCTCCCATCTCTCCCTCTGTGATCTTGGGCAGGACACCTCATCTCTTGGGGCCTCCTTTTAAATGCAAAAATGCAGATCCTACCAACACCTGTGCAGAGGACAGAGTGAGATACACGGATGGACTGCTAGGTGCTTGCTCCTGTGTGCAACAGGGATTCGGTGAACAGCGGTTCCTCCCTTCCCGTCTTGGATTCTGAAGGGCTGTTTACACAAAGACAACAAAATCCTCTATGCTGACTCCTTTACAACCATTTGGGTTTGGCAATGCCAGGGTTAAAGTGATCCCACTTTTGTTTAACAAATGTGCGCGCTCATACACACTTAACATGCACGCACTCCCACACACCTAAAATGCAATTTTATCCATGGAAGAAGGCCACGGGCTGGACTTGAAAGCTAAAGTGTTCATCTGCCTTAATTTTTCTCTGAGGATGAAGTACTGTCATTACAAGAGAAGTTTCAAAAAGGAAGTCTTAATGTGAGGAGCAGCTGAACCCCAGCAGCCAGGCCCACTACGTTAAGCCACCGCCGACTCCCGCAGGGGCATCAGAGGAGCACCCGAGGCCCCGAGGCTCGTAGGGTCACGTAAGGGGCTCTTCCCAAAGGGTCTTCGAGAGGCTAAGGAACCGACCTTGCCATCAGAGGCGGTGTTGATCCTGTAGTGGTACACCCGCCCCTCGTAGCGCAGGGAGATGGACCGCTGGCCGGGGCTGCTCTCGCTCTCGCGCACCAGGAAGCTGCCGTTGATCCCGCTGCTCAGCAGGTACTCGGCGGCGTTGCGGGACACAGGCCCATGGTACCAGGAATGCTTCTCCAGGCTGTTGACGGGGGTGATGTAGTTGCTCGGGACCCATCCTTGGCCATTCTTGGTCTGGGCTTCACACCACTCCCCATTGTGATTGTAGCCCAAGACTCGGAGCTTCTCGCCTTAGAGGAAAGGAACCCAGTCAGACATTCCCACTCTCAAGACCAGCTTCCTTCCTTCTGTCTCCTCCTGGGGGTCACGAAGGCGCCTGAAACGTGTACGTGCTAGTTTTAACGAGACCGCATGAATACGTGCGTGGGTAGCCTGTGAGAAAGTGTACATACACACAAAGCTTCCTGCTTGTGCTGAACGTACAGATAAGTGTGCAGCCTCTTTTTTTAATAAAACTATCGCTTTTTTCAAGTGCTCTGCTTGTACTTAAGGAAGGCTTCTGAGAGAAAGTGATTTTTCTAAAGGGGAAAAAACATCACATTTTCAAAACTCTGTCTAGGTGACCTGTTCGGTAGGAAAACAGGGAGGCTGGATTCCAAACTTCTGTACCGGAGCCTTCCTTAGGAGAAGAGGCTGCTGTTGTTTTGGACCCTTCTATATTCAAAAACCAGAAAGCTGGGCTGGGTGTGGTGACACACACCTGGAATCCCAGCACTCAGGAGGCTGAGGCAGGAAGATCATCATGAGTTTAAGGCCAACCAGGCTACATAGTGAGTTCAAGGGCAGCCTGACCTACAAAGCCCTGTCTCAAAGCCCCTACTCCCTCCAAAAAAGAAAAACAAAAAGAAAACAAATCAACAAACAAAAAAGACACTGGAAGCTGCTCTCTCGACGCACAAAGGGAAGACTGGTCGAGACACAGCTCCCCGAAGTTGGCGTCTTGCAGCCCCACCAGCGCCCACAGCCGCCTCACCTTTAGTGATGCTTAGAGTGTTGTCACCACTGGCCACGAAGTCATACAGGGCAACGAACAGGTTGGGGTCATTTTCACTGGGCCCGGTGAGGAGGTTTTCCTTGGAGTTCCAACGAGCAGCTTCAGTCAGGCCTGGGGGCTCGAAGTCAGATGCTACTGGCCTCTGCAGCGCTTCTGGAGGACGAGGAGGGGAGAGAAATGTCACGGGAAGGAGAACCGAAGAGACACCAGCTTTATTTTCAGGAACAAAAAGTGTCTGTTTCCAGCATACAGAGCCCTAATTTATTTCATTTCTTAACATCTGTATCTAGTATGAGTTTTTAAAGGAAGATTCTTTACCAAATCTTGTGAAAAACACTAAGTATCTTCATTCCAAGGTGGTAACTAATGTTCCCAAGTAGTTTCAGCTTTTAAAACTCATTAATTCAACATGAACTGAGGCAGAAAGGGTCCAAGTCCACCTTCACATGAATTTTCCATTAAAATATGGAGTTTAAGTTTTTTTTGGGGGGGGGTACCTGGGATCGAACGCAGGACCTTGGGCCTGCGAGGCAGGCAGCAGAACCACTGAGCTAAAACCCCGGCCCTGAGGGTAAGTTTCTTGCTTTAAAACACTTTTAAATGGATTGACGCTAATACATACACCTACTTTTAAAAATCAAATAGTATAGAAGGATTTGGAATGAAAGGCGTCTCCCCAACCCAGGCTGCCCGCTGTCCTGGTGGCCACCTCTCCGCCCAGACACCAGTCCAAGGTGCCACCGTCCACTGACGGGAGCTCGGTCACACGTGCGCCTTTACCAGTCTCCGGCTGGGGACAGTGCCTCCCTGCCGCTCCTGCCCCACAGAGGGCAGCACCGCCCCTCTCCTCCGGCAGTGCTCGCCCTCTGTCAGACACAGCAGCTCCGCCTTCTCCTTCAACCTAGTGAGAACTGCGAGGTCTTTTCCCCTAATAAAGAAGCCCTTCATGTTTTGTCCATAAGTAGATTCTGAGAGCTGGAATTCAATCATCACCTCGTATATTCCTTAGGAATATACGACTGTTTTTCACAACAAGGTCCAATAGCTGATTATGTTCCCTGAAGTTCCTTCTTGTGTTTTTTCCCCCTTGCACTATGCTCAAAGCCTCCAAATTTCTTTGTGATAAATGACAAGATCCAGCGAAGCCACTCCAAGGGCGCTTACGGCGGTGGGCGTTATGTGGTGAAGCCCACACACCATTTAAGGAAGCTACAATAAGAAAGTCTTTTTTTCCCAAGGAGGGGAAGTTCTGCCTTGAAAAAAGTGGAAAGATCTACAAATGAGCCCACACAAATGGTAACAGAACATTGGCTTTCGTCTTCCGTCGTGTGGACAGAGAGGACCCACACACGACATCTCTTCACCTGCAGACCCATCCTGGGGACTGGCCTGGCTCTGAATCTGCTTCACAGAGACACTGGGTCACTGAGAGACCGGTCAACTCTCAGGAGTGAGGCTGGTCAGCTTGGGGAGCGGTCATTTCTCTAAACGAGCACTTGGAAGTAAACAACAGAACACAAATAATGCAGGTCTTTCGATGCTAGCCTTTGTTCTGTCAATGGAAATGAATCTTCAGGACTTACTTCTAGAAGTGCAAATCCTAAATTATGCTATGACCACACTTGGCAATTTCATTTTATGAACTGTGAAGACAGGGATGATTTCAAGGAAGAGTCTTGTCACACTGCCACCTCCTGGGCTGGGGAGCAGCTTGGTGACATGCCCGGCACTGTCCTCGGAAGGGCTGCCCTGGCTCTCGAGGCCTCTTGCACCATGGGGACCATCAGGGACTGACCAGCTAGCCACAACGGGAGGGAGGAGCAGCGCATTTCTTTGTTCTTGGTTTGTTTTTTTTTAACTGACACACAAAACCCTACAAATCACACGTATCTGGGATGCCATGCAACACTGAAGTGGGGGGTTTTATTAGTAGGAGTGACCCTCACGCTACCTGCTGGGACCGCAGAGCCAGGCTGGTCATCGTGGGTGAGGATGGGGTTCAGCGGCACACAATCTCTCTAGGCCCCTCTCAGAATCATCCCTCAATGTCAGCTCTGTCCCTGCAGACCACCCGCGGGGCTGTGCACTGTGCCGTGCTGACTCCCCACAGAATCTTCTAGATTTCTACAAGTCACTCCAGTGACCTTGTCCCATACCAAATCCAGTAGTGTTGAAAAGGTACCTGACTTTACAGAGTCTTCCTGAAGCACGCACCTTAATTCTTTCTTCTTTCTTTCTTTCTTTCTTTCTTTCTTTCTTTCTTTCTTTCTTTTCTCTTTCTTTCTTTCTTTCCTTTGTAACACTGGGGGTTGAACCTAGGGCTTTTATACTGAGCTCCATCCCCAGCTTGAACTTGTGATCTTCCTGCCTCAGCCTCCTAGAGTGATAGGTGCACCACCTCACCGGCTACAAAAGGTTCTTAACACAAAAAGACTCTTTCATACTAATAACTTAGAGCCCTTTACAGACAAAAGCCATAATTAGGCAATGCACTGAAAGTCAAAACCATCACTAAACATGGAGAGGACGTGAACCCTGCTAGCAGCCAGAGAAATGCAGATTCTTTTTCACGTGCATCTTCTGCACACTGCCGGCGAGGGCAAGGCAGCAACAGCAGGCGTTCCAGGAGAGTGGTGGACTGACAGCATTCGCAGGCAATTTATCCCGAGAGAGCTGCACAGTGATTTGTATACAGTGACTTTAAATAAAAGCACAGAGAAGGGAAAGTACTAAACAGCAACATATGATAAAGTAATTCACGCCCCAGTAATAACACAGAATACATCCAAGAAGCCATTCAAAATATTTTTGTATGGGGCTGGGTGTGGAGCTCAGTGGCAGAGCAATACCCAGTACATGTGAGGCCCTGGGTTCGATCCCCAGCACCACACAAATAAATAAACTTTAAATATACAATGTTTGGGGGAAATACTTAATGGCTTAGGAATATACTCAGGACAAAATATTAAGTGCTGCTGTTACATCCCAGCATATAGCGCATGATTCCAATTTTGTAAACATTTTTTAAGAAACACAGAAGAGATGTACCAAAATGTGAAACAGTACTTAAATTTGGTGGGATTATAAGCGTTTTCAATTTTCTTTCCAATTTTCTATATTATGGATTATTTCTTACAATGAGTGTGACATATTTTTATAATCAGAACAAGAAAAGCAGGCCGAGCCAGCTGACCCTCACATAACTGGCAAGTGAACTCGAAGCAGTGTGGGGCAGGGAGGCCGCCGGCACTGTCCTGAGAGAGTGTGCGTCCCTCTGCATCCCCACCCCGGGCCAGGAGCACACAGGAAATTAAATCCAAGTCACGAGTACAGAAACGCTTTTCTTCTCCAGTGCCATCCGACCTCCGCTATCAAACGCCCCGCAGCATCTGGAGTCGATCAAAGTTACATAATCGGGACGCGGCCTGGAAAACACCTGGGGTAGGCAGAGCAGATGCCGGCCCAGGGAGACTGGACAGGAGTCCTGGTGAAGACGGCACCGTGTCCAACAGGCAGGCAGATGCTGCCACCTTCACGCGAGGGGGACGGGGCCTCCACGGGGAAGGCGCCGCCTCTTGCTGCTTTCGGACTCGAGGGACGCCAGGCCAGCCACAGCAGCCTCTCCGTTTCCTCCCCAGCCCAAAGGGAAGTGTTGCTCACGCACGCCTTGGATCCATACGCTGAAGCCGAACTACAGCCCAGCACCAAAGCCTTCCAGTCAACTCCCAGTCCCAGCTGATGTCAAAACTGACTCACGGGGTACAGGCGCCAAGTTCCTCGCTTCATTTCATAGCGAACTATGCTCGTCAACCTTAAAAACGGTCCCATCTCACAAGGCTAAACTTGCATAGTGCACTCAAATCTTTCCTGTTCAAGGCATGAACTTTCTGCTAGTCTCTGTCACAGAGTCAGAACCCAAAGGAAGCCCAAATTTCATTCAAAAAAGACGTGCAGGACGCCCCCTCCCAGAGGGTCTCTCGGCCAGAGTGAGACTTGGGAAAAACATTTTAGGATCCGCTCTCATTCTTACTTGTTTCTAGGGAACATCTTCCTGTGCATCCTTTCTGAATCACATTTGAAACACTTTCAAGATCCGGCTCTCCGCAAGTGCCTCCTCACCCCACTTAAAGCCAGTCATTTTACCAACAAAACTCAAGAAATGCCATTCCGTGGCCAGCGGAGTGTCAAGAACTGGCATCTGAAAAATGCGCCCAAACCTCCAAAAAGCTTTGGTTCCAGCTACCCAAGTATCAAGTTCTTTGAAAACCTGGTAAGAACCAGGCCACAAAATTCACAGGGTCTGCATGATTAACTTGTCTGGACAGCATTCTAGGAAAATGGTTTGGGTCTTTAAAGTACAACTGAGAGATCATTTTGTATAAAAACGGACTTTCACAAAGTTGTGAGTCACTGATGAAAAATGTTTACGGGGAGAATCTCCAATCGGGCGGATCTGGTGTGGAGGGACGCAGCGCGCTGGCGGAGTCCGAGGCCAAGACTTCGCCATCCCAAGGGGAGGGAGGCTTCACCTCCAGGAAAACATCCCGGGAAGCCTCCCGCCTTCCTGTTGGCACTGGTGCCCAAGGTCAGGGCTCCCTGTCCGGTGCGTGCGGCCAGAGGTGCGGCTTTCCCGAGGGGCCCCTCCGCCCCTCACATCCCCTTCACTTGTGCGCTCGCCAGGGTTTCAGCCCAGCCTCCTCCTCCTCGTTTGCTTGGTGGCTCTTCTGCTAGGATCCTCCAGTTCGAGGAATCTCTGTAATGTAAAAGTCTATACAACAGACCCTTCTGAGAGGAGGGGGCCTTCGTGTTTTATTTCAAAGTCTGTTCCAACCGATGAGCTCATGCTCACACTGCTCTCGAGTCGGAGTGTAAGTCACACACGCTTTATAATATGAGCTTAGAGGAAAAGTATTATTTCCCACAATCTGGGCTTGCTGAAAGCAATTTTATCTGCATTCTACATGGTCCCTCATCTTGTAATTTATACCTTCCCCTGAGCAGTTAGAATCACTGACAACATCTAACAAAAACAGCCTTTCTATCGACTTCATGCTCTACGCAAAATTTTCACAGCACCCTAGACACCAAGGCGGCTGCTGGGCGCAGGGCGGAGAAGGGCAGCAAGGGCAGGGTGGCAGTGACGGGAGCGTCCC